ATGTTGGTCCACAACCCACTCCGCACTTACGATGATCTTAAGGAAGTAGTTGGACTTCCAGGTCGCCCTGTCTTCCCTGGGCATCACGACGGTGCGTCAGGGATTGCCACGTAGGGTTTAAAGACGAGGTCACTGAGGGGAGAAAAGGAGCTCAGGCTCGGGCACCCCGACACCTGTCCCTCCGTCCGAGGCCTACACGGAGCGGGCCACGCGCGGGCGCTCGCCGGCTGGGCCTTGAGCAGCCACCACATGCGGAGACCAATCCGCCGCCAGAGTACGAGGGAGCGTGCGCCCCGGGCCCCCCACACCATCAAACCGCGCCCCATCCCACCCTCCTTGGTCCCCCAAAAGACGCCACGCTTCCGGCCACCACTGCCCAGCAAAGAAAAACGCGCCGCCAAACCTCTCACGAGGACGCCTGGCGAGAGAAGGGCCTTCCGCCGGCGTGAGCCATTTATATGCGAACCAGAGACCAATCGGAAGCCACGGACGGCGTCCCTGCCTATTGGCTGGCGCCGTCGCCCATCCCGCCAAGTCGAACTAATGTCGTCAACGATTGGCTGTAGCCTACCGCTGCCACTCCGGCCAACAGGAAGCGCTCTTTAAAGTAGGGTAGTTAAGGAGGGAGCTGTCTGGAGTTGAAGGCGCTCTGCTTAGAGCTTTGCCCCCTGCTGGCCTGGAGGTGCCTTCCAGGTAGATTCTGCAAGGCTGTGCGAATTCCTTGGCTGAACTGGCCACATCAGCAAATTTACGCAGCTCAAAGGAGGATGCCTTCTTCAACGGTCTTTGTCACCCCTAGTTTGTTCCTCTTGCGACCCAAAACAGCGAGATCCTTCAAACCTAAATCCTCTCTGGCTCACAATTCTCAAAAGCTGCCCATTTCTTTCACCGTCAAGGCTGAAAATTCAGGTGACAGCCTGAAAGGTCCTCCATACCCATTATCTCATCGCTACCTTGGCCTAATGACTCATTTCCTTTTAGCCAGATCATTCTTTTTGCTGTTTTGCCAGAGCATACCAGGATTTCAGAATAATCGCAGCCACCTGATTAACTCACCAATTAATCACCAATTAATCCGCCAAGTCTTGCTACAAATAAACTGCCCCATGAGACCTACCCCCAACTCCCTATTATGCTATCTTCAGATATCTATATGTGTATGTGAGTGACTAATTTATCTGTATATAGTTTATATAGAGAAATATGTAGACATACACATGCATGCATGTAGTGTACTTCAATCCTCTGCATCCTTTCTTTCCCCATCTCCCCTCCTGCCATCCCTCCTCCAGACAGTCTCCTTTTATACTAATGCCCTGTTGTCAAAATCATCATCATCATCATCGTCGTCGACGTCGTCGTTGTCATTGTCGTCTGTTGCTGCTTTGCCAGTCCAGGGGCTTGAACTCAAGGCCTTTGCATGTCCCCGAGCTTTTTTGCTCAAGGCTAGCTCTCTACCACTTGAGCTATAAATCCACTTCTGGCTTTTTGGTGATTCATTGAGAGATAAGAGTCTCACAGACTTTCCTACCCAGGCTAGCTTCCAAGTGTGATCCTCAAATCCCAGCCTCCTGAGTAGCTAGAATTAGAGGCATGAGCCACAAATTCCCAGCTTGCTTTGCTTTTTTTTTTTTTTTGCCAGTTTGGGGGCTTGAACTCAGCAGCTGAGCACTGTTCCTGAGCTGCTTTTGCTCAAGGCTAGCACTCTACTACTTGAGCACAGCACCACTTCTGGCTTTTTTCTGTTTATGTGGTACTGAGGAATCAATCCCAGGGCTTCATGCATGCTAGACAAGCACTCTACCACTAGCCACATTCCAGCCCTTGCTTTGAGACAATATCTGTCTGTGTAGTTGAAGCTGACTTGTGATCCTCCTTCCTTGGCCTCTTTATATGTGTCACCATAGCTCAATAAATATTGCTCAAATGAAAGATCCTAAGATTAATGGGTGTATCTCCCTATCTCTATCCTTTACATCTGATCCAAGTAAATTCCCAGTGTTATCTAGACCACATGCAACCAAGAGTTGGTTATAACTGTATGTGGAACCCAGTACCCAGTTATGTTTCTGAAAACTTTTGCCCAACAAGGATGATCAAAGGGTAGAGGCCTGCATCTGACTTTGTTATCTTTTTGAAACACTCATTCATGATGCCATCTTTTCACATCATAGTTCCCATATCCAACTATACATCAAAATCACTCTAGAAGCTTTATATAAAAAAAATAAATAACTAGAGCCGGGTGCCAGTAGCTCATTCCTGTAATCCTAGCAACTCAGGAGGCTGAGATCTGAGGATTGCAGTTCAAAGCCAGCCTGGGCAGGAAAGTCTGTGAAACTCTTATCTCCAATAAATCACCAGAAAACTGGAAGTGGCGCTGTGGCCCAAGTGGTTTCAGCATTGAACTGAAATGCCGAGGGACAGTGCTTGGGCCCTGAGTTCAAACCCCATGACCAACAATAAATAATAAAAATAACTTTCTAGGTCTTACCTAGTCAAAGTCTATAGTCCCTATTGAGACTCAGCATGAGCAAACACTTTATCACCATAGTACACTTCCAGCTCCCCGTATTATAATTTATTTTTTTCTTTTTGCCAGTCCTGGGGCTTTAACTCGGGGCCTAGGCACTGTTCCTGAGCTGCTTTTTTGCTCAAGGATAGCACTCTAGTACTTGAACCACAGCGTGACTTCTGGTTTTTTTCTGTTTATGTGGTACTGATGAATTGAACCCAGGGCTTCACACATGCTAGGCTAGCACTCTACTACTAAGCCACATTCCCAGCTCTTGTTTTTTGTTACTGGGGCTTGAACTCTGGGCCTGAACGCTGTCCCTCAGCCTTTCAGCTCAAAGCTAGTACTCTACCAATTGAGCCACGGTGCTACTTCTGATTTTCTAAGTGGTTTATTGGGGATAAGAGTCTCATGGACTTTCCTGCCCAGGCTGGCTTTGAACCTCGATCCTCAAATCTCAGCCTCCTGAGTAGCTAGGATTACAGGCGTGAGCCACCGATACCTGTCCCTTCTAGTATTTTTAAAAATACTTTTTGTAGTGCTGGAGATTGAACCGAGGGCCTTATGCACTCTACCACTGTTTCACCTTCCCAGCTCCAACCTAGCCTCCTGGGTCCTCTGATGATCAGCCCAGTTCAAGAACTGCTGGAGTGAATTACTGCTAATATCCTTCTTTAATGACACTGTATTTCTGCCCACTCAGCATTGTGCTAAGTACTTTGTACACATTTCCGATGTTCGTATTTCCATCAATCCCTCAAGGACATACAATATTAGCTATCCCAGAAATCTCTGAGAGGTTAAATAATACATTCATGTCTCTCAGTCCACAAATGATGATTCCAGAACTCTAGGAGCAAGTTCAAATCCCATGGGCTTCATGATGGTACAGTTATAGGCTCTGACTCTTAAGTCTGTCTCCTAAGTGCACTTTTCAAGTATATATGCACTATCCCTATACATTTCCAAGGACATCCTGGCTCTGTCAATACGAGCATCATCTATAATTGTTACATCAATGTAACAAACATCATGCCATTTAAAAAATGATGCAGACCTATATTCAGAAACATGGGAAAATAAAGCACAATTGGATTTTTAAAAAAAAGCAAATTACAATGGTGTGTGCTATCCCCATTCCTATAGGAAAAATAATCCAGCAAGGACAGGAAAAACAAGCTGTCACTATTTTGGGGTAAAAGCTGAGTCTATTAATACATATGTATGTATATATATATACTTATACATATATATAATTTTTTGAGGGGGGTCCGGTCGTGGGGCCTGAACTCTGGGCCTGGGCACTGTCCCTCAGCTCTTCAGCTCAAGGCTAGCACTCTACCACTTGAGCCACATTGCCACTTCCGGCTTTTTTCTTATGTGGTGCTGAGGAATCGAACCCAGGGCCTCGAGCATGCAAGGCAAGTGCTCTACCACTGAGCCACCTTCCCAGCCCCCTATATATATAATTATTATTGCTGATCGTGGGACTTGAATCAGGGCCTGAGCACACTGACCCTGAGCTCTTTTGCTTAAGGCTAGCACTCTACTACTTTGGGCCACAATGCCACGTCGTTTTCTGGTGGCTAATTGGAGATAAGAGTCTCATGGCCTTTCCTGCCTGGGCTAGCTTTGAACTGTCATCCTCACATCTCAGCCTAAGTAGCTAGGATTACAGGTGTGAGCCACCAGCACCCGGCTTGATAATATGTTTCTGGGCTCAGACTAGAAATCAACACGGTAACTCCAAATCAGAGGAAAATAGTGAGGCTCGAGGTTGAATAAAACTCTTGAACACTCGGGGAAGGTAGGGAGGGAAGGGATGGTAGGGGGAAAAAACAATGGAGGGGGTAACAATGCTCAATAGGAAATGTACTCATTACTTTGCTCATATAACTGTAACCCTCTGTATAGTATCATTACAATAAAAAATTAAAAAAAAAAAAAAAACCTCGAACAGCTTTGGGGATCTGGGATCTAACAAGTGCTGAGGAAGCATGAAAATATAGACGTGACCACAAGGAGGCAGTGGAGACGCAGTTGCCATTGCCACTGCAAGTCCCAGGTAGTCCCGCATTACATCCAGAAGCTGGGGATGTCTCCATGCAGAACACAGGTAGAGCAGGTCCTGAGCTCATACCGCAGCGATTACCTTGAGCATGATGGTCTCAAGCCTCTTTCCTTATCTGTGAGTGGAAGGCCACCCACAGCCCCTCAGGGGATGCTCTCATGGGAGCCAAGAGAAAACCCAGAGCAAGGACTGCCACCTGTAGCAGCTCATAGGCGCTCCCCACCAACTTCCCAATTGAGTACAGCCCATACAGGGGTCAGCAGGACCTGCAGCCACTGTCCAGGCCCAGGACCCTGTTCCCTGGGCTTCTGGCTTTCAGACTCTACACCTGGGGCTCCTTGGAAGATTGAAAAGGGTTTAGTTTCTCTGCTGGGCCCATTAGGTTGTCAGACCAAGAAATGGCACTAGCACAGGTGAAAATAATGGCAAACTTTATTGGCATAAATCACAGGAATTGAAATGGAAAAAGCCAGATTAGAAGTTTATAGAGAAAAAAAAATCAAAATGAAATGATCAATGAACTACTGACCCAGACGATGGACCCCAGAAACCCTAGTCCCTCTTGGGGAGCAGTCTAGGGTGGGTCACTGTAAACAGAGCTATAAGGCCTGTGGGTGGAGTGGAGATGTCCGACTTCTCAAGGGCCTGGGCTGACCTCCCCAGACCTGGGCTGTCCCAGCCCTGTCCTGACAGGGGAACTCCCTCTTCTGGGACCCCGGCACTCAGTCTCTGCTAGGAGGCTGGTGGAATGGTCTGGATCCTTTCCAAGCGACCCTTCAGGGACCCCTTCTCTCAAGAACACTGGCCTGGCTGCTCCTATTTCATTCTGGAGAAAAGAGAGCACCTGGCTTCCTGTTACACTGGCAGAGGCCTGTCCTTCCGCCCCAAATCTGACTGTGGCCCCGTGTTCCAACCTAGGCATTTTCTCCCCAGACCTCCTGAGCCCAGATCCCACCTGTGCAAGGGGAGGAACGTGGGCCAGGTCTCCAGGAAGGGTAGGGAAGCTGAGGAAGTAATGGGCACATAGAGTCCGTAAGAGCAGAGGCCCTTGTGGTCGTTGTGAGTGGAATCAGATACTAGCTTTCCTGAGAAGGCAGAAGAGCGAGCCCCGGAGAAGCAGCGAGGAGGCAAAGGGTGTCCAATGGGTTCTCTTTGTTGCCAAAAAGTTCAGAGGGGGAAGAGGCTTAGACAGGAAGCCACCCTCCTCACCCCCCACCCCCGGCCCCACCTGGACTGACTGCCCCTTCTCCCTTGGGAACAGGCCAGCTGAGGTTCAGAATTCCAGGTCTCAAGGACCACACCCCCTTAGGCCACTTATGTAATGAAGAGCTTGCTGGCCTGAACAGTAAGGAAGAGGTTTCAAAATACAGCAGTTTATATATTTAAAAAAACAACAACAACCAGTCCTGGTGAGCTGTGATGTTATAGAAGGGTAGTCACAGTTAACCTGCTTGTGCTAAGAAAAAAAAAAAAATACAAATTGTTTCCCCACCCCAAGTATAAAGCAAGCAAAGTCCATACGAAAGCCACAGCCGCGGACAGAACCAGCAGCAGTGGACAGGGAGAATACAAAAAGGAACATAGTTAAAAATCTCTTCAAAATCATCTCGTATAGAGAAGTAAAAGCAAGTTGGGCAATACGAATTGAAACCTCAGTGTAGAAATCTTATCAAAGTCAGTACAGTGACCAGGCACAGGTGACACTCGCCACCTCACGCCGTCCCTGGAGACGGGAGAAGTGGCTAGAAAATGTTATTGCTGGAGAGAACTTTCTCAGTAGAACTGGAACAAGTATAAAATGGGTGGCCAAGGGAAGGGGACAGTCACCCAGGCCCAGGGAGACTGAAAGACTGGAGCCGAAGGACCTTTCCACAGCCCCTGCAGAGCTCCTGCCCTTGGATGGACAGGTTTATGCTGGCGTTGTCTGGAGGGGTCCAGGTATCCCCTCAATACTCTCAGATAATTAGATCGGGAAGAAATAAGGATTAAGTGGGCCCCTAGATGGCCCTGCCCCTCCTCCCGCCCTGGCTCTGCCGCTGACCTGTGAGTGGGAGATGGCTCCAGTGTGGGGTGACCATTTGTGGGGACGCACAGCATGTGCTATGGGGGTGGGTCCACCTTCCACCTCAGGGGAGGACCTCGGGAGGGGGGAAGGTCCCGAGGCTCTGGTGGGGGTGAGGAGAAGCAGGCAAGAGCCCCTGCCACCCCCTTCCCATGCTGCACCAGTTGAGGGCAAGGTTCCAGTTTCCATTGGGTTTGCCCATGGCACCTCGGCGAGGTCTCTGGGTCACAGTAGCAGTTGGGGACACAGGCTGGGGAGGGGACGGGTGCCAGGAGGGGCACTAGCAGAAGAGCTTGAGGAAGCAGTTCTGGCAATAAGGCTTGTCGTTCTGCTCCTTGAAGGTCCCCTTGTTGAGCTGCTTGAGGCAGAAGGCACACACGAAGTGCTCCGGGTGGAACTTCTTGGCCATGGCGGTGATACAGCGGCCCGTGATGGGCTTCTGGCAGCCGGAGCACAGCGAGCCGCGCCGCTCGTGGTAGTGCACCTCGCAGTATGGCTGCCCATCGTGCTCAAAGAAGCTGCCGTTGACAAAAGGCGTGAAGCATTCCTGCCAGACAAGAAGTGGGGCGGCCAGAGGAACGGGGCTCAGGGGATGGCCCCTCCTGCAGCGTGACGCGCAGGACACGATAACCCTCATCCTCTCATAATGACTCCCACTTGCTCATTTTCTCCACACTATGTTCTGGGCTAACTGCATGGGTTTGGGGGTTGCTTTTATCCCCCGGGGTGGGAGGGGATCCCGGTCGAGTTTTTGTGGGTTTTGTTTTGAGTAGGATTCGACTCAAGGCTTTGCACTCAGGGCAATCACTCTACCACCTGATCCACACAACCACAGTCCTTTTGCTTTTAGTTTGCCCGGGCTGTTGTCATCTCCTGCTCTACCTTTAGAGTAGCTGGGATTACAGGCATGAATGACTGCACATGGCCTAAAATCCTTAATTCTCCTAGGAGAAAAAGAATCTGAAGTTTACAAGTAACCTGTCCAATGTCAGTGGCTACTAAGTAGCACAGTCTGGATTTGAAGATAGGTCTGACTTGGGCACTTCAGCAAGTGCCAGAAACCCTGGGGCTGAAAAAAAAAGGATCTGACCCAAACTCTGTATCATAGGGTCACGTCTGGAGATTCACATGCACAGATGAAAAGATGTGAGACTACTTAGGCAGAGACTGTTTCTAAAATTAACTCAGTCAAGAGAACCCTTGCTGGGTCCCTAGTAACATCTGTGGATCCTCAGGCCCCGCAATACAGTTTAGAAACTGCACATTTCTGTTGAGTCTGCTCAGTGTTTGTATCATCTCATTTAATTCCCACATGCTCTTCATCCAGATACGACCAGCTGCAGGACTCCGTGTACCCGCCGCCTTCTCTGTCTTGCACATGAGGTATTAAAGACTGAGAGAGGATGGGAGACTGTTCCTGGTTTCTCCTAGCTCTAGCCCAGGACCTGCTGGCCTTGAGATCTTGTACTCCTGCGTGCTCCCCCCATCAGCACCCCAAACAAGAGAAGGCCAAGGGAGGGAGGCCCTTCCCTTACTCCTGATCGCTCCCAGCCCCTGCAGCTGCAATGGGGGCTCCTTACCCGGCACACGAAGCACTCGGGATGCCAGAGGGTGTTGAGGGCGGAGATGTAATTCTCCAGGATGGCCCGAGCACAGCCGCCGCACTTGGGCGCGAACATGTCAAAATAATCCTTCCGGCAGTAGGCCTTGCCATCCTTCTCATGGAACCCTGAGAAGTAGGGGGGATTGTGGCAGATTTAGGGCCTCCAGAGGTGGATCCACCCTGACTCCATTATCAGCACAGTCTCCCAGCCTTCCTCCTGGCCCTCCGGGAGGTGGTGACTTTATCCACCAGGTCTGCCATACCTTCAGGACCGAAGAAGGCCCCACACTGGGCACAGAAGAAGTGCTCAGGGTGCCATGTCCGGTCGAGGGCCGTCACCACTTTCTGTGAAAGCAAAGGAAGGGATCAAATCCAAGCTGTGCCCTGCTGGACAGATCACATAGCCAAGACACACAGGGAGAGTGAGACATCTCCCTGGGGATCTCTGCAGGAATTTAGGACGGGAGGCAGCTCAGGCTTCAGGCCAGCTCCCACTCCTGGCACTTCCTCACTGCGTGAACCTCAGGCATGTGACATGCCCTTCCAAGTGAGGGGTACAGTAAAGATCTAATAGTGGGGGCAGGGGGGCGCAGTACCCATGTGAGAACCCCAGCTGCCCTCCCCAGCCCATGCAGGAGCTCACATCCAGGATAGGCCCATTGCAGTAGTAGCAGCGCGGGGAAAAGAGGTTGTGATAGTCCTTTTCACAGTATGGCTGTCCATCCCGCTCAAAGAAGTTCCGGGATCCGATCTCCTCCTGGCAGTGGGTGCAGACAAAGTGCTCGGGGTGCCATGTCTTCCCCATGGCTGTCACAACCTAAGAGGAAAGGCACAGTGGCTCAGGGCAGGGACAGAGGGTAGGTCCTGCCTGGTGCCGACCTGCCCCATTCATCACCTGCCCAGCGATGGGCTTCTTGCAGGCCCCGCACACCCCCTTGGCGACCGTGGCGACCCCCAGCTTGTTCAGGTCAGACTGCAGGCTCCCCAGCATGCTGTCCAGCTGGCTTCCAGGCTTCAAGGGTCCCCCAGGAGGTGAGCTGCTTCCGGTCTTCCCCTGGGCCATGAACTGTAGAGATGGGGAGAGGATTAATCAGCACTCGGGAAGGTATGGCACAGTATCAGGGCTTAAGGCCTTTTCTCCCTCCTCAGGCAATGGGCTGACCCAGGCCAAAAGCACAATATGCTCCAGGAGGTCCTGAGACTCCTAAAGATGGGAGTGACACTGGCAGGCCATGCTGGTGGTTAGGGGGGCTCCCAGAGGGTTAGAGGAAGAGCTCATGGCACCCTGCTGCATGACCAAGCCCCAGGGAACACGACAAGCAGCCCAGCACTGACCCCTCCCTCGTCCTGCCCTTCAGGGCTGCTCTGCCTGCTGCTCGGAGGCCAGCCAGCCACCCAGTTCTGCTCTCCATCCGCTCTTTGCTCCAGGCCGTGCATCTTAGATAAGGGAGGAAAGGAGGAAACGAAATTTCAAAAAAAAAAAAAAAACTTAAGGAAAAAAGAATAAAAGACCTTGTTTTTGAACCATTTCACGCAAGGAAATTCAGGATGAGTGTTTTTCCCCATTGGCAATACCAAAATCAGGAGAGGAAAAAAAAATCTAGAGCAGAATAACCTGAGGTAATCCAGACACAGAGAAGTCCAGAGAGAGAGAGAGGGAAAGGGAGAGGGAGGTAAGCCACCCAACAGCACAGGGCATGGGAAGGGGAGGTGAGCCCAGAGGCCTCACCAGATGCTGGCCAGGGGGCTGGAAGGGGTGGTGAGCTTCTGGTCTGTGGTATCAGGGGGAGTGGAGAGGAGCCAGCTGAGTTCCTGAGGAGTGGGGCCTGGACATCGGGACGTCAGTGAAGCTCTGCCAGGGGTCAAGATCTAAGGAAAGACTGTGGCTAATGTGCTGGCGGCGTGGCTAGCAGGGAACAGGCAGGACTGGGGCTGGGGCTCCTGAGAGGCCTGCCTGCATCACTGGGAAGAGCGGGTCCTCGTCCGTCTGGCAGCCCACGGACCTCACAGTACAGGGTGCAGGAGCGGAAGGGTTGGGGCCCTGTCCATGCTCATCACAGGGTTCATCCCCTGAGCTCTGGCCCCCAGGAGAACCATGGATACAAGCTGAGGGTCCCAGGTAGGAGGGGGAGGGCGGCCGGGGGAGAGGAGAAGAGCTGTTGGCCAAGGCCCCTGAGGCATCTGGGTAATGCTGGAGCAAAGAGACAGGAGGAGGAGAAGCCACAACAGAGATGGTTCTTCTCAGAGGAATGGGAGAGTCAGGTGGGAAGACAACCTGGGAAAAAAGGAGGGAGAGAGGTAAGGAAGACAGAAGAAACCATCAGCTCAGGGAACAAAGGGAGTGAATGGACAGATAATGTCCCCAGGCTCCCCTGGGCCTTGCCACTCTGGAACTAAGAGCAAGGCCAGTTTTAGATGGCCACAGGACGTACCCCCCACTCCCACCCCACCCCCACACTCAGATCTCTCCTCTAGCCAGAGCTGGGGCAGAGGAAGCATCTAGATGCCTGCTGCCCAGGCTCTGGGCTGTCCCGAAGCTCCTGGCTACCTTCTCTACAAGCTGCCCCCCAGCCCGCCTCCCTCGTGGCTGCACAGTGATGACGACGCCCTCAGTCAGCCAGTCTTGGGTGGAGGCCCCTCCTGGCCCTGCTGCCTCCTCTGCCTCCGGCTGGATGCCCAGCCGGCCCTGCAGCTCTGCGATGAGCCGCTCCTGGGATGGGGTCCTGCTCAGGGTGGCGGGGTCCAGCCGGCGGCGAGGGGAGGGCTCCCGGGACATGGGGTGCGCATGGCCTGTCTCCCGGCTCCTCCTGATCACAGATCGGATCTGGGGGCGGAGGGGGAAGCTGTCACTGTCCCATGTAGGCAGGATACCATGCCATTCAGTCCACACGCAGGGGTCCCAGAGGAGCAGAGGGCAGGACGCAACAGCCAGGAAAGAGCCAAGCTGAGAAGGAAAGAGGGAAGAGACAGACAGGGACTGGCTCAGGAGCATAGGCCAAAAGAGCCCCCTGGCCTAGCATTCTCTTCCAAATCAGCCTCTGACCTTGGCAAGGCATTTAGCTTGAAGGGACCTCAGCTTCTCCATCCTTAAAATGGGGCGGACAGTATTTTCTTGGCTTACCTCACAAGGTTATCAAACAAATTTTAGAGAATATACATGGATGCTCTTAACAGGGATTTAGTCTTTTTCTTTCTCTTCTGATTTCAACAGAAAAATAGGCTTTTCATCTTCTGTATGTCCTTTTGCGTGCGTGCGTGCGTGTTGGTCCTAGGGCTTGAACTCAGGGCACTATCCCTGAGCTTTTGTACTCAAGGCTAGCACTCTACCACTTGAGCCCAAGTGCCACTTCTAGTAATTAATTTGGTGATTAATTGGAGATAAGATTCTCATGGACTGGACTGGCTGTGAAGCTTGATCCTCGTCTCTCAACTTCAAGTAGTTAGGATTATAGGAATGAGCCACTGGCGCCCAGCTCTGTTTTTTAACTCATTTTTTTCTTTACATTATAAGCTACTTATTTTCATATTTGAGGGTTTGTTGTTGTTCTTGCTTTGGAAAAGGGTTTCTTGCTTTCTGAGTCAAGCATGTAACAAGTTAACACCAGGGTAGCAGCCCTGGAGCCACAGGGTCCCACACTTTCTAGGGATCATCTCATCTAATCCGCTGCACAGCCTTGATGGGAAATGGTTTATTATTACCACCATTTGAAAGATGAGGAAACTGAGACTGAGAGCAGTTGCCCAAGATCACAAAAGTAGCAAATGTTGGCAGTTCTTATTGAGGCTCTACATAGTTCCAGAGGTCATGCTTTAGCCATTCTGCACATCAGAATGTTGAGGGCAGCTTGTCTAAAGGGAAAGCCTTACACAAGCAAGAGGCGGGTCATTGCTGTGAGAAATGGTAGCATCCAGACAGCAATGCTGGCCCTACAAGGCCCACTGCCAAGCGCTCATCCCTGGAGCCAGGGCCCCCAGCACTTCCTGCTCAGGCAGACACACCGTGCAGTGGGGGCTGCATGCAGTTAGCGAGGAGTGGCCCACATTCAGAAGGGCAAGGCCCATGCCTAGTGACTGCTTGAATTTGCGCCTGCCTGGCCAGAGGTGGAAATCCTCTCCGTGGTGCTGGGTATGCCCGTGACCATGGCATGTAGAGGCTCCCGCTGCTCCTTTCTGGCCTCAGGAGCAGCTTCGGTGGTGCTCTTTGGGATCCTTAGGGTCTCCAGTCCCTGGGTCAGTCCCCCCAGGCTTCCCCTCTGCGGCATGGCTCGGCCTAACTGCTGCTCCTTGTCACCTGGGGTGTGGCAGCTGCCTTCCACCCCCCCTGGCTCTGGCCGTGGCTCCTCCTGCTGGCCATGTTCCTTTGTGAGACTCCAGGTATCTGGGAAGATGGTCTGACGGTCCACTGCCACAACTGATGGCTCAGTTACTTCCTGAATCTCAGGCCTGGAGGCCACCAAAGCTGATGGGCGTTTACAGGTGGCAGCCACAACCACCCCTGGACCTGCAGAGTTAGCTGGTGGCCCTGGCGGATCTCCAGGCTCCTGGGTTCCTGTGCTCCCACCAGAGGGTAGGGTGTTGCAAAGGGAACTTGTGGGATTCAGCAGGTCCCTGCTAACTTGAGGCTGGCTCTTGGCATCAAGTAACCCTGAAGAACCCTCTAGAGAGGGAGGTTTTGAGTTGTGGGTGGCCAAATCAAGCCAGCTAGAGGCCACAGGAGGTATAAGGCCCCATCTATTTTCCCCAGTGCAGAGAACCTCTGGGGTATGGCTTTGGACTTGAGGGGAGGCTTGAGTGGTAAATAGCAGGAATTCAGAAGGCAGAGGAGAAGAAGATGGACAAGGAAGGGAGTGGAGTGGGGAGGGATCTGGGTGGGGAAGTGGCTCCAGAGAGCTCAGGGCCACAGCAGAGGAGCTAGTCTGGAGGAGAAAGACAAAGGAAGAGGAAAAAAGGAGAGAAACAAGATGAAGACAGGTGAGGAAGGATGCTCTCAGCAAGGGGAGGGCTGGGCCTTACAGTCTGGACAGCCCCCATTCACACTGCCCCACAGTACACACACGACAGCTTAGAGTCTTCTGAAAACTCGGACCCCACAAAAAGCTCTTCTGGGCTTCCTCAGACCTCATGAAACCTAGGCAACAGGAAGCAGCCCCAAAGCCAAGCTTGTGAGGTAGATGTAAAGAAGACCAAGGTGAGGCAACCAGGGAGGTCAGCCCCAGATGTGAAGCAGCTGCTATGCCGCCCTCCCAGAGGATTCCCGTCTCCAGTCCTTGCTCTTGGGCACAGCCAGAAGCAGTGCAGCTTCTCCTCACGGGGCGTGGGACACCAGCTGTCTTAGAAAGCCAGCAGCCTTTGGAGCGCACCAGCACAGGCCAGTGCGCCGCCGAATCCACTGTCTTGCCTCTTGCTGGTTCCTCAGAATCATGGCAGCAAGGTTCACAAGCCTGGATTCAACCCACCATGCAAGCCCCAGCTGGAGGGAGGCAGGAGGCACCACTGGGGCCAAGAATGCACCAACAGCTTGCTTCCCTTCTCATATTCCCTAAGTTGTATTCTGAAGGTCCCTAGCTGACCCATGTGGAGCTGAAGTCAGCAACTACTGGAGAGTTCTATCAATATCAATGCCTGTGGAGACACTGCATCCTCTAAATAAAATATCACAGGCTGGCAGGACTGGAGGGGCCCGGAAGGGACGGGGCGGGGTCCCCCGTGCAGGCCAGGCCCAAAGGCTGGGCAGGTTAGGTTTCCCAGACAAGTCTCCTGGGAACTCAGGCCCCTGCAGCCAGGCCTGGAGGGAAGGGAGGGAGGATAGGAAGAGGCAGGCAAGGGAGGCCTGTGGACTCAATTTCCAGAGACAGAAAGAAAGAGGATGTGTTGAGGACAGCTAGCGTGGGAGATGGAGCTCTGGGGGAAGTGACCTCCCAGGCATGGGATCCTGAGGCCCCCAGCGTCCAGTAGAGCATCCCCTCCCCCACGGAGACTAGCCATCAACACAGGGCTCTTTGTCTCTATGTCCCAGCCTCCTGACCCCCTTGACCTGGGTACTGCCAAGGGAGGAAGGAATGTCCCTGCTGAGCACTTTCCTGGCTTTTCTGCCTTCACTGGCTTCCTCAGAGCTCAATCCCCGAAGAGCGCCTGGCCTCCCTCCCAGGAATCACACTGTCCTGCCAAGGCCAGGGACATTATGAATCTTTAACTCAGGTAAAGCACCCCAACACCTAGGTACCAAGGTACAGCTACTCACACAGAGGAAAAGAAAGGGAGGGGGGAGGTAAGGAAGACAAGGGGGCCAAGGGCACCTTAAAATCTGACAAGGAAGCCATCAGCTCGTCCAGCTCCCTGGTGGCAGAGGAGGCGGAGATGCGCGTCTGTTGCTGGCTGGATGTGACTCGCTGTGGGCTGCTCATCTCACCCTGGTTCACAGTGATGGCAGGGCTGCAGGGGCAGGCATGGGGTCAGGGGGGAGCCCGGAAGCCAGCCCCAGGCTTGGCAGGGGATCAGGTTAATGCTTCAGCTCTGACCCTGCAGTCTTGATGCCTCCCCCGCAGGAGACCACCAGTGTCCATTATCCTGGGGGCCCATCATTGGGTGGGAGGGGGGTCTGTCAGCCAGGAGACAGTGCTCTGAGGTGAACTGACTAGGGAGAAGATGGGGCAGCTTAAATAGAACCTCTGCCAGGAAGGCTCCTCTGCCTCCAGCCCAAAGGGGAAGTTCACACGTTAAACACACCCAAGCACCCGGGTGTATCCTCCACAACTATACATGGATGTAAAACTACTACAATAACAGGATCACACCGTAGGTGGTGGGTGGTCAGCAGCTAGGACCCCAAAACCATTCACATGTATTGTTTCGTTTCACCTCTATCAAGGTTAAGTGGTCATATTCCAATTATCTGCTTGTCCCATTTTTGGTTTTTGGATTGTTACAACTGGATAGCTCAGGCCAGACTCAAAACTCTTGATCCTCCTGCTGCAAGTTCCTGAATGTTGGGATTACAGGAATAAACCACCACCCCATGCTTTTGGAAAGAGCCTGAGCACTCACAAAGAGCAACTGGCAGAGCCATAATTTGAATGCTATTATGGGCTACAAAGCCTGAACTCACAGCTGCTAAACACAGGTAGCCTCTATATGAACAATGCCTGCCTTTTCTGATTAGTAATGGCTGGCTGACAGCAAGAATGGTGTCCATGGACTAAATTGTAAACCCAGGGCCTGGAAACAACAGACACTTAGGGACACTGGAGCCTGGGCCCTGGCTGGGGAAAACATTCGCCAGCCTGAGGAGAGCTGTGGATAGATACTCACACAGGGCTGGGCACAGAGCTCTCCAGTTCGTCCAAGAGGCTCTCCACACTGGGCCGTACATCCTCCAGGGCCCGGCCTCCATTCCTCTTTGGCTTCTCCTTCGTCAGAGGCCCAGCTTTGGTCCCCAGGGGACTGTTATTCTCTGGGATGCCATAGTGAGGGCTCAGGGCCCCAGGGAGTGGGGGGCTTGAGTTGGCCTCATCTTGGAAAGGAGAAAAAAAAAAAAAAAAAGGCTGCTCAACCCTTGAGCCCTTCAAGGACCTGGAGGTCGACAGGTAGCCTAGGGCCCCAAGCCTACCTGCAGGGAAACTTGGAGAATTATGCTGCACGGCATTGAGTTCCAGCAGTAGGCGGTCGAGTTCTGAGAGGTTGCTGCCCAGGGAGGAGCTCATGACGGTAGGTGAAGGCTCAGCTGATTTCTGTTTGTTGGGGAAGCTTTTAACGAGCAGAGGAAGTTAAGTGAGAGGAGCTCCTCAGCCTTGTGCTGGCTTACTGCTCCCCAAATTCCCAAGGCCCATAAGTTAGAACAGACAAAAAGTGTGTCTCTGGACAAGCAAGCGGAGGGTAGGGAAAGGATGTGGTGAGGAGCCTGAAGGAAGTCTTGCTTCAGGTTCTCAGCAGCTGTAACAGCTATGCTGTAACAGCGTGGTCACTCCATTATATGGAGATGTCCTTGACAAGACCGGGGCCAGCTGAAAGGCAGGGGAGCGGGCAGGGAGCGGCCAGGAACCTCACAGCCTTCTGGAGTTAAACCAATGACTCTGGCGACAGAACCCCTGAAAGCCACTTGTCAATGCTCTTCCCTGGCCAGAGTTACCTCCCACCCTAGCCAGGTTTCCTAGCAGGAGGCCGGGCTGGGCTGGTGGTACCTGTAGACGTGCTCCTCCTCACCGGCTCGGGAGCATGGAGAGCCAACACCGTCGGGGTCAGAGGCACTGGAAGGGTTGGCACTGGAGCCGTATACAGGTGATGGGGATGGAGGCTAGAGGGAAAGAAAGAAAAAAAAAAAAGCACTGAAAATTCTCCCAAGGGAAGGACAGCAATAGGGAGCAGAAGTAGCCCCAGTGCTCATCCTCCCTCCTCTCCCCCGCCCCGCCTTCCAGGCAGCTTCTGCTCACAGCCAGTCTGATCAGGGAATTTCCAGTCTGGCTGGATGATTAATAATTGGTCACTGCCCCCCTTACATGGTGGGTAGGAAGGGCAATGTCCGGTTGGGAACAGCCATGCCCCCCCTGCCTCAGCTCCCCAAGCCCCTGCTAGATAAGCTCCTTTGGGGGGCACCTTACCTGCTGGTGGGTGAATCGGGAGCCACTTGGCTGCCACTGGTCTAAGGGGGCGAGGATGGTGCCATTGAGGGCCTCACTGGAGGGGGGGGGTGGGACGGGGGGCGGCACTGCAATCTCCTGGTAGGTATGGTTTCCAGTTGGGTAGGAGTAGGGGGGCTCCTCGGACAGGAACACGGGCCGCTTGGAGATGTGGGAGGTGGTGGACTCCAAGTCCGCCAGCAGGGCGTCTGTGAAGAGCAAGTACGGGGAGAAGGTGAGCGCCAGGCCTCTTGGAAACTTTCCAGGGGCAGTGCCCCGCCTGCCTATACCTCAAGAGCTAATGACTGCTGGGCACCTGCCCCACCCCAGGGAGAAATGACTAGCCTCAGGACAGGAAGCCGCCAGCCCAGCCCAGCCTGGCAAAGAATTGGCTCCTAAAACTGCTCTCTTCTCCCCCAAGCCCAGCCTGAAAGTGCTTGGGACTCTCCTACCTCTGGGTGTCAGGCGCCCGGCTCTGCGTTCCTCCTGACAGAGCTGTGCTGTTGGCTGGGCCAAGTGAGAAATGCCTGCCTGGAACTCTGATTCCGCACGGCACGGAGGAGAATGGGTGGGAGGGGCCCCACGTCACAGGGAGGGGCCCAGCAGTGCCAGGACCTCACTGAACTCCCAGCGTTTAGGCTCTCTCAGCCCAAAGACAGTTGGGGTCCCCTTCTTCTCTCCCTGCCCTCTTGACCAAGTAGAAGCAGAACCCCAAGCTCCAAGTTCCTCCTGAGGTTCCAGGACATGGGGTAAGGTGTGTGGGTGCTGGGGGGGGAGGGGGAGGGGGAGCTTTGAGTGCAGTAGTGCAATAGTTGCTATCCCCTTGGCAGGGGGTGGGGGCTCTCACAGGTCTGCTCTGCTGCTCTGCTGGCTGTGTTCCAAAGCCTGGCAAGTGGCCCAGCCCCAGAGGCTCCAAGGCCCCGTTAAGTTGCTTTTAACAGCAGCACAGGCCCTTAAGAACAAGCTTCCGTTACCCCAGCCCCCAGCAGCCCCCAGTAGGAACCTTGTGTCTCCCTGTCTGCAGACAATGAAGGTTACAACTAGAAGGGCAAGGGTGGGAGCTGCTGACCTTCCCACCTCCTCCTTCCCTACCCAGGACCCTCCCAGGGCACAGCCCAGCCAGCCCCAGGTGCTGCACCCTCATTCCTGCTGTGTTCCCCAACCTGCTCACTCTCCAATCCCCAGTGCTCAGGATAATAGTCAAAAAGGCAATAGCTGCATTTACTCCCCATTTGCTAGCAAATCACTGCACTGGAGGATCCCACTGATCCTCCAGATAACCCAAAGGGCTGGAATTCTGTCCTCCCTTTGCAACTATGGATGCTAGGCTTGAGGTGGAGGGAGGGCAGGACTCCAGGACTCCTCAGAATCCACAAGCCTGCAAGAGGCTGCTGTGACAGCAAGATGACCTCAGATTTAAAGAGTCTGACGTCAATAATGGCAAGAAGGTCCAAGCTTTGAGAGCTGCCAGTCTAATCCTTCCTTGCAACCCTGTCCCCAGTCCAACTCCCACCCAGAAGAGAGAAGAGAGAAGGAAGCAAGGCTCTTACCCAAGCCTGTGGGGCCACACCTTGCCGTGGCTGCCTGTCCTGATGGCCTACCCCCCTAGGCTGGTCACAGATGCCCAGATGGCCTAAGATCACGACCACGGAACCAGGTCTCCTACTTCTGAAGGTCAATTCATGCAACCCCCTTCCCTTCCAGGCCCTCTGGAGGAGGTCTGACTTCCTGCATCCAACAAACCGGAACTACAGGGAGTCTAGGAAACAGCAGAAAAGGAACTAGTGTTGAAGGCCAATCCCTGTGGTTTCTCTAGGGCCACACCTGCTGCCTTGGCTCCACAGTGTCCCTACTTCCTTTGGGCCCAACCCCACAAGGGTGGGGTCCTCCTCCTCCAAGATGTGCAGAGCCAACTGGGAAACCTCCCCAGACTACTCAGGGCAAGCAACAAGTGTAACCCTGGTGAGGCTGATAGTAGCAGTAAGTTGTCCTACCTGCCTTCCTTCTTACCATGACACTAGCAAAACAAAGGTCCAGAGGCATGCTTGTCTCCTGCTGCCAAAGATGGATGAAATGACATTGCTGGGCTCTGAACAAAGTCTCTTAGGCTCTAGACACTCAGCTGAAATCAGATGGTCAGCTTTTCCTGCTAAACACTTGTGAATCAGGGATTCCGCTGCCCACTCATCAAGCCCCACAAGCACTGATTTACAGACTGGATGCTGGCTTGTGATTTCCACAGGCCCTTTTCAACAGATACACAAACTGGTTAGATTACTGGTTGAGGGTCAAGTCCTAGGGCACTGAGACAACAGATCACACTGGTCCTGAGGGAGGGTGAGAAGTGGAAAAGTGATCTGCAGTTCTGGAGGGCAAATCGCTCAGCTTCTCTGACCCTTACTTTCCTTGGTAAGATCTGGTGCATAACTTACACCTCAGCATCAGTGTCAGGGTTATAAGAGGTAACAGATGGAACTGCAAACATCTGAACTTATTTACTTTGTGAAATCCAGAAAAAAAAAAAAAGACGAGAAAAAAAGATCCTCCTCCAAGAAGGGTAGGATCTGGGCGAGATGTGGACATGACAATCTTCACTAGAAAAATAAAGTAATAAAGTAACATTCCAAGTACAGCCTGTGCAGATGTCAAGGAGAAGGCCTATCATTTCCCAATTTTCTCCAAATCATTTTCTAGCTGAGAGAGGAAGCCCAGCGCAGGACCTCTGCTACATCTTCCTCTTCCCTCTCCATCCTTAGTCCTTGCCTGATGATGTGGACAGGACTTATGGTCACTATCCCCCAAGATGCCCATGATGCACCCAAGGAAGACAGGAGTACAGGGGGCAGACAAGGTATAGACTCTGAACTTTACTTTGAATTCTGAAGGGTACAGATGCCAGACAGTTCCTCACAGGTTGCAAAATGGTTAAGGGCCAAAGTCCCCTTGCCAGTGCAACAAACTCCTTCCCTGGCTTGAGTAAACAGATCCAGGAACACAGCCATTGAAAGCTGCCCACCAGCAGATAAAGCCTCCTCCAGAGAGTCTCCTCATAGGTTAGCCATAGTTTTAACTTTCTGCCCAGCTCAAAATATCTAAAGGGGTATGCTCAGAAACTCTATCATACCCCAAGGAAAGTGTCAGAGACCACCAGAACGCTGGAACACACCTTTTCCCACATGCTAGGACAGGTTCCAGGTCCTCAGGTGGTGCCTGAGGACACTCATTTAGGCTAATGAGACCTCAAACGTTCTTCAACATCACTAAGTTTCTGGGTCCAGACTGAGACCATCCAAACTCAAGTCACTCTGCAGGAGAAAGCTCTTTTGGGGGGTTTTCAGCCTCTTTTTGTCTTACCTCTGAGGCCCAACAGAAAATAGGCCCTGGCACTTGCACCCACAGAAGAGAGAAACAGCTACTGAAACCCTGAAAAGTGAAGGAGATCAGGCTCAAAGCTAGGGGGCAATCTATGTGGTACAAAGTCCCCAGTCAGGCCACATAGCTATATCCAGCTGAGGGAGAGTTGCAGACATTTGCCACTAACCACCAGAGGGCGCCATTGTCCTATCAGCTTCCTGCCACTAGGCAGACAATCTCAGAGTTTTCCAACCGAGTTGGGGAAGACCCAGGGAGCTCCGAACCACATGAGTTTTAATCCTGAGAAAAGTTGGCAGAGCTGCAGAAGTAGAGCACGTTACTAAGTGGAACACAAAGTCTCCTGGGTGCCAAGACTTTGGGGCTGTGCCTGTAACACTATCTTTTGGAGGTGCAACCCAAGGACAACATGTAGTTGTTCACCTGCTCAAAGGGACATGTTGCCTCATTTCCAGTGGTATCTGCAGGCACCCCATCTCCATTTCCCAGCCTTGTCTGACCTGAGCAACACTGACACACCGTGCAGAGGCCTGAGCAACCACTGTAATCCTCTGGAAGTGGGTGGAAGCCTAAGATCTGTAGCCTTGAGAGGGTTAAACAGCTGACATCTCCAGCCTGCCAGAGAAGAACCTGAGGGGCCAGTCCACCCACATTCCCAGGGTTGCAGCTGTCAGTGCCCCTGAAGTTCCCACACCAGCTCAGTGGAGGGAGACTCTGGAGTCCCCTCATCCCCATACCACCCTCTGGAAAACCAGGCTGGCTCACTAACACCCAGCACTCAATAATGCGCTACAGAGAATCAGCAGGGTTGAGGGTGGAGCTCAGTTCAGAGCCATGGGTTCAGTACCCAGCACCAAGAGAAAGAAAGAGAAGAGACAGAGAAAGACAGACCCTGAGAGGCCGACAGAAGGCCAAACCTTTCTACCTCCACTGCGAATGGAGCAAAGAAACAAGTAAGAGCCCTTTCACAGCCAGGCTTCCTCCTACCTATGGCCACCACATCTTAGTATGTGAAAAGACTGTCAAGACCAGAGGCCTAGTGCTAGACAGGTGCCAAGAGAGATGAGATAAAGTTTCACCCAGGATGGCTCAAGTGTGTGTGTGGGGGGCGGGGATGTGGGAGAGAAACACAAGACCCAGAGCTTCCACTCTCTCCTCCCAGGTTCTGAGGATATTGGATGTTACAATTTGCACAAAGGGGTTCAGAGCAACACATCCTATCCAGTCAGTGGCTGAGCTGTTTGGATAGGATGCTCCAAAGTGCTTCATAGTTCCTCTCCTGCCCCATAGGAATGACCATTTTATTCATAGGACTCAATAGAGTGATGCTCACACTTGTAAGCCTAGCAACTCAGAAGGCTGAGATCTGAGGAGTGAGGTTCAAAAGCCAGCCCGGGCAGGAAAGTCCATGAGCTGTGGTTCAATTGATAGAGTACTAGCCTTGAACAAAGAAGCTCAACAACAGTGCCCAGGACCTCAGTTAAAGCCTCAGGACCAGCATAGACAGACAGACAGACAGTCCGACCAACCAACCGACAGACAGACAAGAAGGCAAACATAAAGTGTCCATTTAGCACAGGGCTTGAAACAGCATACTCTCAGTAACTTGAAGGTGCTGGGCCAGGGAGATCCTTCACAGAAGTGTTCAGCCCTTGAAAGAAAAGCAACTCCCTCCCCAAGTCAACATTCTATGCAATCCTGAGCCAGCAGGAAGGGCCCCATTCTGGCCAAAACAAAACCTGGAGCACCAGATCTCCACCTCTAACCCCCAGGCCGCAATAGGGTTAGGACAGGTAAATACTGAGCTTTGGGCCAATTTTCTCTCTTCCCAGGATTG